GATGGAAAGTGATGATCAGGCTGAAAGCAACTTCCCCGGGAATCATTACAATACCACAGAAACACAACAATGTTGTAATAATTAGGTACATTTAGCTTCACATTACTAATTGTTTACTTATTATAAGATTTTAAACTTTTGCATTCCACCCACAAGGTGGACCGACGACCTGATAAAGGTAGCAGGAAGGCGCTGGATACAGGCCGCTACCAACCGTGCGATGTGAAAGTCATTGGGGGAGGCCTATGTTCAGCAGTGGACGTCCTGTGGCTGAAATGATGATTCCATTTCAACTTAAATAGAAAGACACGGGTCTTAATGCGATTTTTATTTATGTGTTACCAAAGTACTCACGGCTTGACGTTTCGGCTGCTATGCTGTAGCCGTGGTCACAAGCAGACTGTTTACTTAATGTTTACATAAAATTAACTGTATCATAACTATATTTCGGAATAATATTTTTAAAGGATTTAATGTCTTTCCAATTGCGTGTTATGATATCACTTTCTGCATTTGGCGCATGCGCTAGAAAGTGAGCATCTGTGATACATGGTTTCTCTCCGTCACAGATCGTATTCAGATTGTGTACTCGCATACGGTCATAATTATTGTAATTATGCTAAACATTTGTTCTTTATTAACTGGGGAACAGTAGAGGTGGGTGCAGTTGGTTCACTAATAGACATGGTAACAGTGATATTTACGGGAGATATGAAAAAAATAATCCAGAGTAAGAATTACCTACTAATAATCATGAAAATATTTTCTTGTACACTCGAGGAGTGGAGCTTATCAGCTAGTTTACGTTATTATAAAGTCTACGAGTATATTGTATGGTACAAGAATATTTGGAAATTCTACCACTTCAAATATGTACTGCATTAAATTATCATAGAGCTTCAATTGCCTTTAGTGTAGTATTAATTTTACTGCAAAGATTTATATCAGTCAATATGAGTGTAATTGATTTTAACATTCCAAAGGTAAGAGCAACTGTGTGACAGATTGCAATAAATAACAATTAATGTTAAACATCACTGATTTAAGTACAGTCGATATAGCACATCAGGCAAGCATAATGTGATTGGTGCTAAGCCCGCGACTGTACATTGTAATATGACTTTCATTCAGTAACTACGCTAATACAGACAAATTCAAGAAGATTTTTAGTATGCTAATGCAGATTATTTACGTTACATCATAATTGTAAGCCTTTTAAAAATTCTCTTCTGTCAAACATAAAGATGCATAATATAACAATAATAACCCTTTGGACTATAGATATTCTATAAAAACTTTTAAACGTAAATCAACCCGAGAATAACATAATTGTCCTTTACTTCAGCAAACTTGATAGTGAGTGAACAAATAGACTTATAAAAAGTCGAAAAATCACATTAAAATACGACAAATAAAGATGTTCAAGCCCACGTACATATTTAGTACCCAACTAATTAAACTACATAAATTCACAAATTTTATGCACATTCCAGAGATAGTAATTACGTAGTCAACAAACATTTCCTTTTCCTACGGCGACAAACATTTAGCAGAATAATTAAACGAGTGTTGGGCGGCGCGTAGGCCGACGTAATTAAATAAAAAGTCAAGTTGAATATAGGGAATCCCACGCACCCGGCCCGGCTACAGTGACCGGGAATTGAAGGAGTAAATGACGATAAATTACGAGAATATCGCTCATACTTCGCGCCTTTTATGATGATTAATACAAATATATTTATAGTAATCAGAAGACGACAAGTCACAAATAGATAATAAGTGTGCCTGACTTGTTCTGAAAAAAAAAAACGCACAAACATATTACACTTACTTGCTTAGCATATGAATAAGTTTTCGTCAATAAGTTAATTAATTGAATTGAAAAGTAGTTAATAAGAGAGGACTATTAGGAATATAGCCTTGCGGATAATATAGAGGTTAATAGATAACTAATTAAAGATATGAACATTAGCGATTACTTACATTTGCTTACAAAGGTATTCAAACCCCCAAAGTTTTAAGTCCGGTAAGCGAACCACTACACCAGGCACCACCGGTCAGCAAAAACACCTTAGTCATTAAAACCATTAAGAAAACGCTTGTAACGGGTTAACATTATCAATAAGGGAACGATCATTAATTCGACAGCCAATCTCATCAAGATGATCTTAAGTGTTAATAATCAGGAAGCAGGGAAAAAATATCATACAATTACATTAAATGAGATGACTTATTGCTAAACGGTCGATTTACTTGCAAAGATTAAAAGGAGCATTAAAGTAAATAAAATTTAAAATAAATGATGTAGAATGTAACAAAATGTTTTAACAGTAAAAATATAATACCTACTTATTATCTTGTAGAATAGACTAAGATCTAGTGAACGCCAGACCTACGTCATTTTATAAAAGCTGAAAGTTTGTCAGCGTATGCTCCCAATATAGGATATGATGTTGGTGAATTATGAAGTTTGGGTCGTGGTGGCTTTGGGAGCTACCCTAAAAAAACTGTCTGGCAAGGAGTTGGAACTGTCAAAACTGTCTGGCTTTTGGGGAAAATACTTCTAATTATTGCCCAAATATTAAACATAAAAATCAGATTGTATAGTATACCGTAAGTCTAACTTTTACGGTGGCTTTTTCTGTATATTCAATAGACTGTAATTCTACTAACGTTAAACCATTAAATCTGATTTTTATGTATAATATTTGGACAATAATAAATGACGTAGGTCTGGCGTTCACTAGCTCTTAGTCTAGAACCTTAAGAGGCCGCATGAGACCGCGGTACCAATGGATCTCTACTGTGTCTCGATTTTCGATCGAATTACTGGATTCAATAAAAAATACCCAGATTGTTCAGTTTTTTTGATCAAATAGTACATAATTATACACTTTCCTCTTGTTATTGATGAAAACGGAAAAAATATTTTATCGCAAACACAGCCTAGTACAATACAAGTTAAGCTTTCATGTACTATCTTTATAGAATCCGCATATCTCTACAAAAAGCTGACTACCATGGTATTCTGCCATAAAATGGGATTCCCAGTCAAAGAATTCTACACTATTAAGTGTTGACCTTTACAGAAAAGCCATACTTTCTTACTCCACCTTATTAATTGTAATTCATCGTCACTGAGCTTAATTTATAAAGTCCCAGCTGTTGACCGCAGCTTTGTGCATGCATTTTGGTCTATAGAATTTTCGAGCGTTTCGCGATGACAATACGTATTACATGACGTACCGTAAGCATTTTCCTTTTTCAAACATTCAAAACACAACCTATCTTTTGACACTGTCAAACTTTTGGACTGTTTTTTCAGTTATAATTTTTACACATAATTATGTCAGAAAAGGAAAAATCTTCTACCTTATACGACACTTTCCAGTCTAGCCAAGTTAAAAAGTCTTTTTCAAATAAACCTTAGGGGCCTATAAATTCTGTATGGCAAATGGAAGACTTTAAAAGATTTATTTTTTCTGCAATGATACTAGACGTATTTTATCATATAGGCCAGAGCAGGGCTAACTTGAAGTAGTTCAAATTAAATAATAAATTAATACTTAGAGATGTAATTGAACAAGTCTATTTCAAGATGTGGACGGAACACATGATGGCGATAAGATAATGTTATTACTTAGAAATGTGATAAAAACGACGTAATTAGAATAATCGTACCTCATTAGCTGGACGTTTTTGTGTTGTTTTAGTTATAGCTTTTATAATTGACGTCCCATCACGAGCCCGTACAATGTATGAAAAACGATAAGCGCGGGATTATTGTATGAAAACCGTGTGATGCGCATACAAAGCGGAATCCAGACTAGATAATAGAGATGAGCACATAATGATTTAAGTGTTATCGATAAAGTTAGTGACCCCCGTTTTATCATATCAGTCTTCATGAATGTTAGTTACAATAAAATTATGATTTAGAATTTACAAATTAATTTACTCGATTAACATTATACTACATGTGAGTCAAATCCTCCACTTGTCTCTGGTAAGAAAAAAAGAGGAACGTGCTTCTGCCGTAGATATATTTTCCTTATTGCAGAAGCACGTTTAGCTAAACTTCGAGGTACTTACCTCACCTTATGCAGCTGAAATAAAGCCGATGTTCCAACAACAAACTTATAACTTAGTGCTGTCGCCTTCACAATATAAATTAGACTTATCGATACCAAACCTAGGCGTAGTCTATCCCTAGACTTCAGGCGCAATCGCCAGCATAATAAACCATCAAAACCTAGATCCAGCTAAGGCACTATGATTAATGCGGTCCCGGCATCAAGATCTAAGCTAACAGGCGCAGGCGCAGAGATGGACGATAGGGGAAATGTGCACGGTAATATTATAAATAAACGTTTCTTCAATTGTAAATAAAGTCGCGTTGACTGACGGCTTCCGAGGGAAATAAATTGGATATTTGAAGACGAAGGGACCACTTGGAAAGCAGCTGGAAAAACAGTGAATATTTTTCTAGGAAATATTTTGAAAATATGACTATTAAATTAGCTCGTTAAGCCAGAGGGTTAGCCGGATGGAGAAGTCAAGCATCGGCTAATATTGTCTTTTAATACGGTTATTTATTAGGTACTCTTACTAAGTAACAAGGGTTAATACCTAGGTATTCAGAAGATATAACAGAATCAGCAATAAATTAGAAAACCAAAAACGTACTAGAAGCATTTCATGCCAACTACATTGCCCATGACCTCACAATTGAAGACTGTGTACAAACATCCATGTTATTATTCCAATAACCCTAATACCAATTGTGACAACCTCGTCCAAAGCTGCTATGACCAACAAAGTCATTTTACGATCAGAACAAAAACGGTCCAGAAAATCATAAAACTATCATAAAACTTTTTATTGTGGCGGCCATTTATTTGCACTCACTGTGGAACAAGCATATCCTTTTAGGCTTCCTTTGGCATCCTCGCTTAAACTAGAAACGTAGGTAGTTATAGGGCAGTTGCGTGCGGCCGGTATATAAGCTAGGGCGTGCAGGATCCCTGACATTGCCCTACGCTTGAACAGTGTCCACGGGTGTAGTAGGTAGATCCTTCCCGCAATGATCAAAATAGTTGTGTTGATATTTGTCCTCGCGGTGTGCGGACGCGCAGATGACAATTCGACTGAAACGGGCGCGAGGCAGAAAAGGGCGATGTTGTGTGAGTAGTGCTTATTTTTCTTTAGGAAATTAGGTGGAAATAGTTATTAAGTTACTAAATATTTTCCTGAAAGTATCCTGAAATTAAAAATAGTGAATTTTGAAACAGACATAAAATTCCTATATTTCTTTTTATGTCAATTATAATCATGATTAAACCAAAACCCAATTGCAATCCATATTACGTAAGTTGTAATAAAATAAAGTATTAATTTAAAAAGCTTTGTAATTTCAAAGCTCTTAAAGCATTTCAGTTAAGTAATAAATAATGCAAGAACTTAATACGACTTGATATTTTTAATATACGATACGATACAGTAAAGCTGACTCCACGTGATATGTAACATTAACAAATTGGCATGAAATATTTTACTGATGCGGTCTTCAATCAATTTTAAACTGACTGAAACATAATCTCAGTTTATTAATGGTGCATGTAAAGCATTGACTCTTCCGGGAAGCGAACCTGAGATTTTGACTCTTGATCTGAATTTATGGAGCCAACGTTCGCCACCCTCGGTCGACGCTCCCACACTTGTTTCACATCGAGACTTATGGGGATATGCAGGTTACGAAATTAAGGCTGATATACACTTGTTAGATATTAGTTGAACTTAAAGCATCGAAAGTTTCAGCCATTGTACTTTTGTTTTAACAAATAATTTAACGTTTTATTTGTGTAGAGGCTCAATTTAGAATATTGTATCACTACTTGGAAAAAAGTTGTTATGATTTGGTAATCAATAATTGTTTTACATGTCATTCATGTTGATTCTTACATCGAAACCTTTAAATTCAAGTTAAGTTTGAGATACAACTTAGGTGTTATTAAGTGTATCAATAACATTATTGTATTATTACAACTTATCAGTGCTATTGCTAGGAAGACTCTCTTCCAAAAGCCCTTTGGTTGTAGAGACTGATAAGATTATCATGTTATTGATTTATAACTATTTTGCACATTATAAATAACTAGCTGACCCGGCGAACTTTGTTTCGCCTTAATGGCAATAAATAAGCAGACTTTTTTTTTAAATTTCGAACGGGATAAAAAGTATCCTATGTCCTCTCCTGGCTCTAAACTACCTCCCTGACAATTTTCAGCTAAATCGGTTCAGCCGTTCTTGAGTTATAAGTGGAGTAACTAACACGACTTTCTTTTATATATATACTAGCTGACCCGGCGAACTTTGTTCCGCCTTAATGGCAATAAATAAGCAGACTTTTTTTTATTTCAAACAGGATAAAAAGTATCCTATGTCCTTCTCCTGGCTCTAAACTACCTCCCTGACAATTTTCAGCTAAATCGGTTCAGCCGTTCTTGAGTTATTAACACGACTTTCTTTTATATATATAGATAGATGTTAGGTTAAAAGTACCTACTAAAGATATTCTGTTCCAGTAAATTGTTTTAAATACTTTAATATTTTCACCTACAAAGTGTAGTAGAGCCTTAGCAATAAATCCTTTCACGTCACACGATGAGAGTAAGCTTGTCCGTACGGGTGTACAGTCTAATAAATAAGTACACTCCGCATTCATCTGTCAGCGCATCTGTAATACCTGCAAATGGATGAATCTTGGTTATTACAAAACCTTTTTGGTTGATTTGCTTTTCAACCGGAACGTATCTGCGAGCTAGTGGATACAGTTTTTTTTCCGAAAAAAATTATTTCTCAGATGTAGCGCAAGAAGTACATTTAGCTCAGGTTAACTTGCTTGAATAGCTAGAAAAAATATAACTATATTTATTCTGTATTTGAACAATTAATTACAACCAACAAACAATTTTTTTTATTTTATCCAAAACAACTCCAACTGTCCTCTGCACAAGTTATATCTTATTTACATTGATTTCTAAGATATGCGCGAAAAATTTGTTACTACAAAGTTTTGTATTTTTTATTTATCAGTTTTTCATGGTGTGCGCTACTCGTACTATCCATCCTTTGTCGGCTTTCTAAAATCGTACAGAGAAAGTAATATCTAAACTCTCTAAAAATAAACAATTGTATCTTTATTGCAACTGAGATTTATTTTATCTCTACGATAATGTATCTTATTCGGTATGATCCTTTTGCACCAATAAATGCACGATAATGTTCTTGTTGAGAATCCTACAGTCCCAATACAGTATGTGATAAAGATTAATTGACTGATAGAGACTGGTGATTATTTTTAAAATCACTTTGACCGATCTGCGAGGTTTTCTATCTTGTGGCCTGTAACAACTTGTCAGACATTTTAGATGTCACATTAGCTATCGGACAAACGGTTTGAGGTGACCTTCGGAGCACGAGATCTTTTTTTTTGACAATCGTGATTAAATGAAGTAATTTTGCGTTGGACGCAGACCGCTACCAACCGGGCAAGATGGAAAGCATTGGGGGAGGTCTATGTTCAGCAGTGGACCTCCACAGCTGAAAATTAACTCTTAACTTCTAAACGTTTAGCAATAGAGAGATTTCAACTACTAGAACCCAGTTAATCTATGGAGTCTATATTTCAGTTTTTTACCTATAAATAATATTGATAACTTTTTACATTTTTTTTTTAGTTTTCGACGACAATGGCAACCTGATGAAGACATTTTCGAACCCCTACATGCAGATGCTGGCTCGATACGCCTCTCTGAGGCCGGAGCACACCAATTTTCTGGAGTACTTCTTCAATTTCTTGCGTGTAAGTATATACTTATTTTCTTGGAAAAAATATCTGGACAAATATCTCCCCATCTCAAGTATCCAGTTCCAAGGCCAACTTTTGCTACTTATAGACAGTTTGCAATATACATATTCTAGTTATGTACCTACAATCAAAACGTCTCATCATTTCGAATGTTATGTTAAGGTCTGATCTGAATTTATATGAAGAAATTATGCATATTGCATAAATATTTGCATTGTAAACGGAAGCCGGACAAAACAAACCCCTTATAAAAATAGAATGTTATACCATTTGCACTTGAAATCAAGATGTTTACTTAAATAATGCAGGATTTCTCAGATAATCTTAGGTTGAGATCTGTTTATATTTCTGTTGAACTGGCAGATCGCTATAAATAACTTGTATTTGATCTGTCAGCTGCAGTGAACGAAAAAAGTGTAAAAATAATGCTGCATCTAGAAGTGTAAGTCATCAACACTTTTGCATCTTTATCGAATATCCTATGACTTGTATAACGCATGCGTTGTTGTATCTATGTTTTATAAGATTTGGGAGACAAATTCTTGTGTGAATTTCAGATCTTGTTTCAACTCAAAATGACGCGTAATAAGCGTGAATCATAACACCAGACAGCCTGCTTCTATGTGATTTTCTTTCGTAAAGCAACTAGCATTTTTTTCGCATGGACATATCATTATTTCTCGAGATTTGACAGTAGATACGCCGAAGGAAATTGCATAATTATTACATAGAGCCGAGCATCCGTAATGTAAGCTGTAGTCGAGCTGGTTACGAGTGTAATGCCATGTTGTATGCTGTGATATAATTGTGAGTAGTCCGCGTGTTACCTACTAAACCTGTGGTAATGTCACTCTTTTTGCACAGCATACTTTTATTGTACCTAGCTCATCATCATCATCATCATGTCAGCCATAGGACGTCCACTGCTGAACATAGGCCTCCCCTAATGCTTTCCACGTTGATCGATTGGTAGCGGCCTGCGTCCAGCGCTTCCCTGCTACCTTTACGATTCATCGGTCCACCTTGTAGGTGGACGTCCCACGCTGCGTTTTCCGGTACGCGGCCTCCATTCCAGAACCTTGCTGCCCCATCGGCCGTCAGTTCTGCGTACTATGTCCCCTGCCCATTGCCACTTCAGCTTGCTAATCCGTCGGGCTATGTCAGCGACTTTAGTTCGTTTACGGATTTCCTCATTTCTGATTCGATCTCGCAAAGAAACACCAAGCATAGCCCTCTCCATAGCACGCTGTGCAACTTTGAGCTTCTGTATCCTAGCCTAACCTAGCTCAAAAATAAATAAGTTATTGTAAGTAGTTTTCCTTATACAAAGGTTGTTTGAAAGACATTAACCAATAACTTTTTGCTGGCTTAGCTTTGAGTAGCATTCTTCGAGTTATTGCTATCTTTTATCATATTGTTAAAAATATTGGTAACTATATTCATGTTAAAAATACGTTTAAATCTAATTGGTCACTAAGAATGCAAACCTGCACCATAGACCGATCTGAATAGTCACAAGTTTGGTTCTGGCAACGGTCCATATTATTATCATACCTTATTATCATTATCCTATTATAATTTTACTAAGGTGACTTTTTAATACGTATTTATGTCTCCGGTATCAACTACTTGCCAAGTAATACATCATTACCTTACTTATAAGTCAAACATAACAAGGTATTAACGTTGTAATTACTTAAGGCAGAGTCCTATCTCAACCCATTAATCTTCTTCCAGCCATTACTTATGAACGCGTCGGCCGCCGCCTACATGATACCTGTCTCCGAAGACGTGATCCAACAGGTTAACATGGATCCCGTGTACCAGAACAGGTTGACTATCTCGAAAAGAGGTCCCGACTTTAACCCTCTGTGTGCGGGCCGCCGGTCGCAGATACCGTCGCCTAGCAGTTGCAACAGCTTCTTGAGCTGTTGGGATGGGTGGGCGTATGAGCTGGACTGCCCTGAAGGGTTAATGTTCTCTAGTGGAGGGTTCTGTGATTATGCAGATATGGTGCAATGCAAGGATAGGTCTGTGGGTAAGTGTAAACAACAATTTTCCATTAGCTTACCTCTGAAGCTCTCTTACAAATCATATTTGTAATTAGCTTACTTCTTTCTCATCTTGCACATTCGTCCAGCAGTATGCATTAAATAAACTGCAATCCTGAGTCATCTTTGAGGGCGTAAATATAAGTGTAGGAGCTTTTAAGCGTGCAATTACCTCCTACTATTTGTCATTATTTCTCTAAATGAATGAACAACACTCACGCGACGTACTGTGGCATCTTAAATGTTTATTTTCGATGAACTTTTAGAATCATCCTTTCATTCTATAAATAAATAATTGTATTGATGGTGCATAATACTTTATAGGTAGGTACTTAATTTTTAGCATTGTGTAAAGAAGTATGCTATCTTTGAGATATCGTCAGATAAATGGAAATGCCAAGAAAGTTATGTAAAACGATCAGGTCGTCCAAATAGTTGCATAATACATTGACCTTTATTTTCACATTATACATGCTAAGCAACTTGAAAAGTTTATGTCAAGACATCTGCGTAGAGATGACATACATTTGAACTTTTAAGTGCTAGGTTTTAACACCTCTCTCCCCTCTCTCTATAAGTATAAAATTAGTGGAATTGATAGCACAGGATGTTAGGCTCAATGAAAGTTAGATCTCTTTCTAAAAAAACCTATACCTATAGATTGCAAGGTCTTTTTCTAACAATACCAAAGTGCAATCAGCAAGATTATATCTAACTATGATATGAAGCAGAGCAGCGACGGCTATAAAACAGCTATAAAATTGAAAATACAATTTCTCAATATGGTTATCAACTTTTTGGGTTATTAACTTCATAGTAAATATCTTGTCATTCTCACCTCAGTCTGTGCATAAAAGCCAGGAAAATAATTTGAACCTAGGTCACTATATCCCAAAACTTTGCCCATAATTTTGTCCCTAGTCCCTACTCATAGCTAATATCTAGTTAACGCACTGTAAAAGCTCATCCAAAACGACGCGCGTCATTGCGTGATGTTGAAAGCAAGCACTTTGTGATTATTTTGTCCCCTCAGTGGGCACACAGCTTTATATTATGATTTATGTCAAAATCTTTACATTCCAGCGATCCCCAACCCCGTAATGCCGCAATGTAAGACCGACTTCGAGACCTTCCGCAACGAGTTGAACTGCAATGAGTTCTTCGTGTGCGTCAACCGCAAACCAGTGAAGTTTCAGTGCCCTGCAGATTTGGCCTACAGTCCGGTATGTATCAGTATAGAAAATAAACTATCGACGTCAAAACACATTAAAAATACAGAGTAGCTTAATCTAGAGTAAAATAACTACTGCACTAAATAACACATCCGCTGTTTTGAATGCCAAAAGAACAGAGCACGAATTTTTGAAACGCTAGAACTATAATTCGCACACGAAAGCATATTATGAATACCTAAATAAACGATTGATGCTTTCATTACCGTATGAAATAAGTACTTCCTTCACTTTGCTATTTTAGGTGTCTGTTATTTTGATATGAGATTAAGATTCTTTATTCATCTAGCAATCATACATTTAATTTATAATTGTTTGTATGTTAAATTGTAATTTTAATCGCAATCATTATCAAAATCATCGTCATACATTTCAAAAAAGTATTTGTCCATCGATCCGATCCGAAAAAGTTGTTCACCGTGAAAAAAATTATGGTAAGCGAGATCTCCTAAATGAATACGAATTACATATCGGAGAGTTCAAGCGTCCTGTCGACCTCGAAACTTTAAGAATAGGTACACATTATTGTCATCCGCATTCTTTATGGCCATTAATTGAGGTCAGCTGCTGGATAGTGCCCATTTAGCATTCATATTGTCCATTGTTATTTTTCTTATTTACTTTTTTAACTTTTAATGTAATTATTTAACTTTTTTCACGTTTAATGTAATTATTTTAAGAGCTGTGGTTTCTGATAGTAAAAATAAAATAAAATAATAATTTTAATTTTACAAACAAAAGGAGTCTTTATAATTCAATAGCAATACATTTGTCAAACTCAACTTTTTTCTGCTGGTTGACTAGCTTAAATTACCACTATATTATTTTGAAATTGTTATTCTGTTTGAACAGCCGGATTAATCTTTCAATCCAAAGTACCTACTTATCAGGTTTTGATCTAAGACTTGGTCAAAAATCAGTTTATTTCAGTGTTCAAAACCTTACGGTTTAACGTTTCAGAAATTCGGCGTCTGCGACTACCCAGCTCTAGTAGACTGCTCCAGCTCATCTACCTTCATACCACCTGGTCCACCGCAGCCTCCAGCACCATCTACTTCCGCACCAGCTGCCTCCGAGCCCCCGACTCTCACCACCAAACCTCTCTTGTTCCCTCGACCTGATAAGCCGTCCCTAGCCAATCTACCCACTATTCCTCAGATCAACCAGTTCCCTGGCGGACCTTGGATCAGGCCTGCACCCCAGGAGACTGACGCTCCAGGATTCCAGTTTAATCCTAACTTGTCAGATGGAAATGCTATTTTCATGCAGAATTCTATCTACAATAGTCACAGTAAGTTTTATTTTTGTACAGTTAGGATGTAATATTGTAATAAGTATGATAATAATATCTTCTACTTCTACTGATCAGCGTGGGGAGGGTGTAGACTAAATCCTCAATTTGCCATTGGGAAATTAGACTTGTGCTGTTATAGCGACTAAATGAGTAATACCGATAATAATGATAGCTTCTTTTTTGTTAGGCTATTGAAATCGCTTCCTAGTTTATGTTTGTCGTCTCTATTATTTTTAAGCTAGTGTTTATTTATTTATTTTAGTTCAGTTTATTCAGGTACACTAACAAAAGTCTCTTATTTTTTCAGACTTCGCAACGCCAGTGGCCATAATGTCTCCTCAAGACGCTATCCGCTATCTAAAGCTGAACAATATACCAGAAGTCAACTCCTCACAATGAAGAGAACCCTGTGATAATAAGTAATCTCGTGCAATTATGATTTTAGATTAACTAAGAAATGCCATGATGCCATTTAATCTTCATTTTTGTACATTTATTTAATGCATGTGTGATATAATTTCTAAAAATGTGTCATCTTCCAAGCATTTATATTATTCTTGCCAAGTCTGAATGTAATAGACGAAGAAATGCAATAAAATGTAATAAATTACCTATTGTTTATTTCCCTAATATAAAAAAATAAATGAACGCGTAAATTATAAGAACTTTATTTACATAAATCCACATAACCACTAGCTTACCTAATTATGACTAAACAACATACATTTCGACGTTGCACCAACCACAAACGTTGGTGCCACGTCAAAGTAACCTCTGAAGTTTTTGGCAACAGCAATTTATCCAAAAATATTCAAAGTAGACTCAAGTAAAGTAAAATGAACATTTTAGTTTAAGAAAAATGGCAATTTTGACGATACTTGTTAAACAACATTTAAAATTGACTTTAGAATATATTTCGAGCGATTCGAAGATTGATCGCTATCAAACGAGCGCCTCTTCAGACAGATCATTCCTTTTATGAACTTTTAAAAATAAATTAATTCTTTTTCTCGACAATTATTTTTTTCATTCCAGCTAGTAACATTTTTAATCATCTAACGTTAACCTATTTTATTTCAAACTTTATCTATCTGTCTTTAGGCGGTTTGTGTTAAACAAAAGTAGTAGTAAAATAAATAATAACATTGCTGCTTTAGATAGGACTTTAAATCAAGTCAAAAGGGTTGATATTCAGTCTGCCTTTGGAGCCGCTCCTTGTCATTCAATATCCCAACTTCTTCAGAGCCTTCAGGTCTACATCGCCGTAGTAATCCTCGCTGTAAAATTTTTACACTAATTTTAGCATCTATTAACTAAAAAGATTCGGGCCAAGCATTTTTTATAATCATTAAGGAAAAGATTAGGTAGTTCAAGTCATCAGATGATTTAATTTTAACAAAAAAAGCTATAATTTACTTTAATAAGTTAAATTCTAGTTACGTATTGTTAATAAATTAAATTATTATTAGTGCATTTAATCCAAATAAATTAGAATTAATTGCATTAAATTTTTTCTGCTTGCATAATCATAGTTAACAATTTTTAAATTGTAAATTATGTAAGAACCAGTTACGAGCACTAGTATATTATTAGTTACTAGTATATTATTCAATTATTGTTATAAAAAGGTAACATACCTGGTTAACCCAAGGAAAGCGGATTCGCCGTCACAGTCCATCGACTGTTACTGAACCGCTTACAGTTTATTAGAAGAAAATTATTTGAAGACAGAACCAAGAAGATTATTTGTTATTAGAAAGTGAATGCAATCGAAAAGGAAAAGACGTGACAGAAGGTGTTAGGACAACTGTGCAATAGTGCAGCACTACTTACAGAATAAACACAACTTTAAATTTTTATATTTTTGTTTATTTTATCACTAAAAATAAAACTTAAGTATTACAGTTTCTATCAAACAACAACACTCAGTCGCAGCGAAATAATTCAGTACAAAAAATATTTACAAGTGATGGGTGTTGGGAATCAATGGAACAACGATTTTCTACTTTTACACAGAGCTACGAGCTTTAAATGCAAACCTGTTCAATATGTACTCCCTATTTAAGGTACAAAACTAATATACACAACTGTAACTGTCGGGGTAAAACTAATTCTGATTCATAGGAAACTATCAAAACTATGATACAATATTAAAAAATAAATATTTCTATCGCTGTATGATTTTCTACTAATTTTCTAACCTGCCTCTTGAAACTGCTTTAAAAAAGGCTACAACGAAAAAGTATTTGGCAACTAGAAACGAATACATACTCCTAACCAAATTCGAATTTGAAATTTGAACCTGGAACAAAATCTTCGCGCACCAAAAGGAACATTTTTAAAACATGCCAGTGTTATTTACGTTAGTGTTGTTGCTTTCGGTGCGAAAAAGTTTTGTTTTGTAGAACGATGTGAGTATTAAAGGTTAAGGTGGGGGAAGGGCTTAGTTCTCCTTTTGGGGGCGGGCTTTGAGCTGGGGCTTGTTGGCGCGGGGCCCGTCCTGGTTGTATCCCGCCAGGAGCTCGCTCTTGCGGATCGTCTTCAGATCCAGGTCTCCGTAGTAGTCCTCGCTGAAAATGTAGGGGTTCCTTACTGCCTGCCTCATCATACTAAGCTCTTAACTCTACGTTCTTATCATTATCTAGCTCGCGGACATATTAAAATTTCTAGCAACTTTTACTAAGTTGTAGTACTGACTAAGAGAATTGTGTAACTAGTAAACTGCCTTGAAACCAGATAATATCCGTTCGCTTTTCTGGTAATGTTATCTAACTTTTGTTTTTCTCGAATGGTTCGGAGCGCTATATGCCGTGCAAAAACTTTAAGAAAATTGAAACTTTGTTGTCGACCTTCGTTCGAAACTTGATCGGGTGGATCTCGTTGGACCGAATGTGATTGTTCAAGGCAGACAGACCATGAACCGGAGACAACGATTTTGAAAGTCTCCTCATTGTTTCGGATCTAGAACTAGTTTTATCTGAAGTATGTGTAAAACTGGCTTTTGCATTGTTGTATTCACAAAGACAGCCATTGATAACATCAGTCGGCCAGCGTTGCTGACGTGTACAACCGAAATCAGATTCAAACTAACTGTTTACGTGAACAGCTCGTCTGAAAAGCGAGGCATGAAAAATCAGCGTCTAAAAAGTACTGTTACGTACACAAACGGCTATTACCATATGTTATGCATCCGTTACACCGGTCGGCAATGACCACGGTCGTATCACTGTGCAAGCGTAGAATTACCTTAAGTCATGTTAATTTCAGTGCTGACCCAAATATGTCGTAAGCGCAAGGCTCCGAACCGCATACTTGCCGCCTAGGTGGGCGAGATCTATCTACCTACAATTACACTACTGCGCGCCTATGACACTTACGTGCGGTGTTTCTATTCGTATAGTGCAGAAGTAGTGTTAGTCACAGGGACAACGTTGTGTGGGAGTGGTTACAGGGACTTATTATTACAATTTATGAGTAGATTAATATACGCTTCGTCGTACTGAAATACCATTTTGTACAGTAGCATTGCTGAAGTGTAATATTGAGGTTTAAAGCTCGCAGAGTGGCGTGCTAAAGGCATATATTCAGCAGTGAATATCGCGACGTTAAGGCATTTCAGTAGACGCGGCGAAAGTGTTAACTGTACTACATAAGCTGATCAAACACCACGGAATAAGTGATATCCAACCAGTGAGTTTGGAAGAGAACTGTTTAAGTTGTTGTGTCAGTATTACTTGGTATAGTTGCGGAAAGAGGTTTGAATTCTTTTCAAGGATATCCACAGTACCTTTATACAAAAAAGGGTACTTTTTGGTCCCAAAAGCATCCAATTAAAGAAGAGAATGTGATAAATAAGGAAGAGAACTCACCATCCGGGAACATCTTCGGGGTCTTCGCAGTTACCAGTGCCGTCGGAGTCTCCGATCTTGAAGACGGTTCCGATGGGGCATCCGTATTCGCGGGCAACTCCCTCCATACAGATGTAGTACTTGCGGCAGTCTTCAGGGTGGGCGTGACGGCTGAAGGAGCCAGCATTGGACACTTCACCGGGAGCAGGGCAAGAGAAACCGTTCGCTACTTCTGGGAAACACCAAAAAAAGGTTACGTGAGTGAAGAGGTCGGAAGGAGAAACCAGACCAGAACAGCGGTGAGCAGTCGGAGAGAAATGAGCGGAGTGTGTGCTCAAAGTTGTTTTGTGCAGGAATGTAGATCTTCAAGACAGTTTGTGGGGATTACGACTTAAAGTTATAGTACATACATATGGCAATAGACACAAAAGATTAACATAATATTTTCTTCTCAAGTTATCATACTAACTTCCTTGATACAAACTAAGTTCTTATCTGAATAGTAACTTCAAAAATTAAATATGTATTTTCAAATACTGAAAAACAAATGAGTTCTCTAACGAACACTTCAAATTCGAACAGCAATAAAGTATGAACTCTTTTAAAATTCGAACAGCAATAAGAATTAAATTTCGAATCGATTCAAAAAGTGATCGTTATCTTTTTAAAAATCATCTCTATACAGATCTATAACTGTAATCATTGACGATATTACTCCGTTACGTACCCTCGTTCTTGCACTCAGGGACCTGGTCAGCCCACATGCACACGCGGGACTCCCTGTCGTAGGCGAGTCCGGGGCTGCACTGGTAGCGGGAGGCCTCTCCGTTCCAGCAGTTCCAGAAGACGTCACATTTGGCTTCGTCGGCGAAGATACCGTATAGCCGCTGGCAGTGAGGGGTGGAAATTGGGGGCTCTGGAATTAAGAGATTTGGTTAGTGTTGGTAAAAGTTTCGAGAATTTAAAGTAAAACAAAATATGAGCACGATGTCGAAAATTGAAATCATTGCATAAACACCTAACTCGACCGACAATCTAGCAGAAACCTAAAATTGCAACGGATGTTATTCATTAGATTTTTTATCGAAAACGATACCGACTTCATGAGAAATACATTTTTTGCTCAACTCCAAACTAGTTTGCATAAAAAACTAACCAATAAGATCTGTCATAAATCTAAAGGTCTAAACTTCCAAGAATACTCGTTGGTCGTAATCTTTTTATGGCAAAAATGGCAGATATTAATGACCATCGATGGGAAAACCAAAAAGCGGTTCTAGTTCAAGGTGAACCTTTATGTATATGTAATCGCTTTACATATTATGTCACAGCTATAAATCCGTTCTCCGTCGCAAATGTGAATAGTTTCTGTTGTATTGGTCTAGTGACCTTCTAACACATCCTGGTCTTGCTTCGCGAATTATATTATGCAAATTGTCGCCTTGACCACAAAATATTCTTCGTTGTTACCAACGAGAATGCTATCATCTTTTGTAACGATCTAGACATTCTACAATTTTACATATTATTGTTTTTTTATGTTTAGACTCTTTGGAAGAATTAGCATTTAAGACCTGTATTAATCGGATCGTGTTTATAAAGGATATTGAGTATTTTAGAATGTAGAATCCACGAACATGCATCACGAAGTCACGATCCTGTGAGAATCTAAGATTGGTGCTCAAGCATAAGCTTTCGAAGGGTTATGTGTTAAGTGTGTTTAGGGCAAATCCAGGGATTTTAATTTACATGTACAAAGGAATCGTGAGTTATGAACTTATTAATAGATGTTACCGACCTCCTAAAGTCTAACCTCATGCTAACTCGTGTTTTAGTCCACACTTCAGTGGATTCAGGCCATGATAACACCAAGATAATAGTTAAGTATATGGGGTAACTCACCAAGCTGTGTCCTGTCTCCGCACTCAACATTGTGGAGGTAGTCGCAGTTTTCAGTGAGGTATTTGGTGTCGCTGTTGTCGAAAGCCAGACCGTTACCGCACGTCTTCAGCTCAGCTACACCGTTGTCACACTTCCAGTATTTGTCGCAAGAGATGTGGTGGGGGTAGAAGCCGAAGTCGTCTGGGCATTTGAACGACTCCTGCGCCGCAGCTGGAGAAAAAATAACTGGTCAGAATTGGGAAGGATCAAAACAAAGGAAAGTTGAATGTGGTGTGAAGATTTGTGGCTATAAAACATTTTTGTGCGCTCGCGTATTAGACTAATTTATAACCACTTATGTAGATCGTATAACCGTGATTCATTGTGAAATAATACACCTAATTCGTGTGAAAACTTGAACAGAAGCTCAATTGCCTTGAGACCGTGAAATGCAAATCGATTTTATTTCTAACATATATCTAATATATATGTGGTTTTCTGAATAAAGAAAAATAAAAATAAAATAAAATAAAATAAACATCAATTTCAACGTTGCTTCACACGCGTTTTTGGCAATAGCCATTGAAACATTTAATAGGCCTGTGTAATACTGCAAATTCCTATCAATTATAGTAATTTCAAAATTGGTTGCTATTACCAATTCACCAATGCTTCAAATACGAGCTTTTAATATGAAATATTATTTCATCCGTATATCAAAAGAAATAGTAGAGTTCGTTTTGTCCTTATGTTACCCAACTACCTATATTATATTACCAACAATTTACTATTTTATTTTTTAAGTTTCTCTTGTGCATAATGCAAAACTAAGATAATTCGCTTCGAGTATTAAAAATTACATCGCAATCTCACTTTTTCCGCTTCACAGCGTAATTTGGCTGCACAATGACATTTGTCAACGTTGAATAAAGAAGGAAACAACACATCAGAGCACGAGTCCTCTTGAATTTTAATTAAAATTACAAAACTCAGTTTGCTAAGCCCGGGTGGGGTTTTGCAAGACCGGTCGCGGGCAGGGCCGCTCTTTCTTCGGAATGCGCTTGGGCAAGCTGTCACCGCAGTTGGCACATTCGTGGTTTTGTATAATTGTCACTGAACGTGTTCGCCACTTTCTTTGTTGCGTTTTGCTTGAGTTGCTTGGAAAAATGGTGAAAGATGGAATGTTATGATTGATTTTTTACCGAATTAAGAATTGACTGTCAAAAACAATCGATGCAATTATGTTGAACACTTTGGAAAAGAAATAGAACAACGTAAGCATAATAACGATTAGTAAAAGGCAAATTGTAAACTTAACACTAATATTGTACCCTCTAGAAATCAGCTAGGTACTGTAAGACAAAAAGTTATCTAAGTAAAATAACTTTTACATAAATCTTGTCATCGAGGTAATTTGGTATGCTGACTTTATTTATTAACTATTTAACCTCAGATGTTGTAAGAACTAAGTGCTTTTATTTGCATAAATTATAATTCATTTCACGATAACTTCAATTAGACACATTTTTAAATTACCCGATTATCTGGGGTAAACTGCATTTCGTTTTGGACTTTACGGAAGTATACATTTATTTATGGTTTGCTACGATTACGAGTAACAAGGTGTGTCAAGATATAATCACTGTATAAACTAGATTTCCATAACTGGATCAAAGACAGTCGCCTGCAGTCTCCATAGATAAATACAATTTAACTCTTTTTTCGACGTTACAGAAAGATACATAGTTGATTTTACGCTTACCTACGTATAAATGGTCTGGTAAGTATATTTTTAACAGTTAAAAATGTGAAATGCCGATTTCTTGTTTTGTTAACGAAAACAACTTGGAACTTTTTAAAAATAGAAAATTTCACTTATTTTAAAAATATTCGTTTCACTTTTGTCACTTTAAAAACATCTTTAAACACGTGTTACATGTAAAAGCTGCGTGTGCGCGCATATTATGTCATGTTTACATATATGCCAGTGGCACAGCCGGTGACATTTGCCGCAGAAACTGGAAAGAAACTAATCTGTGGCGCAAGAGCCACTCTCACTTCCAGAATGTACGGCCACTAGTGATGTTCACAGTTTCATTTAAAAGGAATCTTTTATGATGATTGCGTCAGTGTGAACAACTTTATTAAAGTTTATGGGCACAAAAACCTTTTCTATATTGTTCAAAGCAGTACGTTGCTTATAAATACTGAATCTAGATCTATTTTTGTCTTACTATAGCTATTTATATATAGATTTTTTTGATATAGAAAAAATAACGTAGCATACGCACATCTCTAGTACTGAATATAGAGTAAGTATAACGAGCGTTGTTCATAACTGCAATTAAATGCTTCCATGGACTTCTTCCCTATGGCTTGGTTATCCAATCGCACTCATTGGTTACAAAACTAAACACATGGTGATGAAAACATCGCTAATTACTTATGCAATCGCTATGAACATCGATTTTAGGTTGCTCTGCTCTATTGGTTATGGTTACAAAATGATCTTTGGTACACAACTAAAAATTATAGTAAAAGCTTATTAAGTTACTAATTACATATACATACTTAATACGATAAACTGACAACATTGTAATTCCTAAAATAAATAAATAAATAAACATTTCTGACGATGATTTTTTTCGGAAAATGTCCTGCTAAGCTGTCTCAGCTTATTTTACTAGGAGATTTATAGCACTTTTGAAAACGTCCGTAACAAATTAACTGCATAACCCGATAATATGCAATAACTTAAATTGCAGAACTGAATAACTTAAATTGCAGAACTGACATATTACTATCACTTTAATATAACTTGTTGACTTAATACCAGTATTTTGCATATATTATAAATTTTCACACATTTGCGGAATGTATCCAATCCTGAGTCGCTCGCTTTACTTGCGGTCTAGACAACCTTTCCTATTATAATCAAATAGCAAGGCAAACTGGTCGACCGAATGCCTGACGTGCCTCAGAGGCAGCCTAGTTCTTGTGAACGATCACTGACATTTGGCTTTTCTATAAAATTGTCGTTTGTGCGGAGATTCTCAGTGAAGTGAACAATAAAATGAATTGTTATTAGACAATTTCCAATTTAAACATTTAAAACGATTAGTTACACGTGCATTTTTAGAAATGTGATTACAATGAAATAAAAATAAACTTTCATTATTACCGGTTGTAACAGCGAACTCGCTCATATTTTTTTTTATTTAAAACCAATTTAACGGCCCGAATAATAGACGATTATCGAATTCGATTACTAAAACATTTACATGCCATCCGCAACGGTAACTCGATTAACAAGCAAGAATTGGACTTATTAAAGTAATTGTTACTCGTAAAATATTACAGCGATTATTCTGGCCTATTAGGCATTAACCACCGAGTAATTGTGCGCTCATCGGCTAATCTTCACGTTGCCAAACATAGACAATGGGAGCGACTATGTGCTCTACATGACGTGGTAAATTTATATCAGAAGAATTCTAAGCTTGGACGTCGTAAAGAGAACGATGACAGAAAGAATGATTCTAAACGACATAGATTAAATATACGCCCCCTCACAGAGTACCCTCGATTAAAAGATAACAAACTAGAGCATACTCTGCCTACACCCTACATCGATCACTCAAGCCCATCGGCCCGTTGTCACCCGATCGCTTGCGCAAGGCGTAGGTCGTACTCGTATGCGCCTGCACATGACATAATTATAGATTCTCACCGGCTGTCATAATGCGTGATGTAAGGCATATATAACTGTATAAATGCATGAGGTTAGTGGGTTAGGGAAACGTATTGTTGGAAAAACAGTGACATGAAGTTTTTCAATTATCATGGAAAATGCTCCATTTGTAGTTTTTGAAGTGTTAGCTTATAGCGGTTGTCAAAAGTATTTGGACATTACCGTAAAGTTCATCAAAATCCATTCAGAAATTTAGTGTGAAAGAGTAACAAAGATGGGTTGCCAACCTCATTTTACGTTTATGATATTAGTGAGTATGACACAATAAACTTCAAACTGGGCTGTTTCACAATAAGCACCCCAAAATTTCGCACAAATAAACAAAGACGTAACACCCTTACAGATATGCCATTAACCGCAATCAGCCCGAAACCTGCCTAAGTGTGTCAAATATTCATAAAAGCCTATCATATCGGAAGCATCGATTGCATAAGTATTAAGTAGGCAATAAGGTAATCGTTAAGTAACCCGTGTGAGTTGAGGCTGACCCAGCAATGTGGGCCGTGGGCGAACTTTCGCTCTCGATGCGCTTGGTATTATGCAACTCGCTAACCTTTATCACTCAGATTCACTTAGCATATTACTACAATAGACTCATTAGCATGACTGGGAAGGTATGATTCATGAATACGAACCATATGAGTGTAATAATAGGGTAGATAACATCTCCTGACTGAATAATACCTTCATGGCGAATTCACAAAACATTCCATCCAAAAGTTTCGATAATTTCTTATTTTTTTTATAACATCTAATGTTGATTAACTTAAGAACTGGCCAAATATGTAAACATGATACAATTAATCCAAATGTTTTGATCTAATAACATAAATATCATAAAACTCAATTACACCTAAACTAGAATTTAAGTAACGTAACCGCGACATTAAACAACGAAACCATTTAAGTAACCGCGATGTGTTAAATTTAGATTAACTAACATCATCTTACCTAATTTGACACTGTAAAACAAAAGAAGACTAAAATAATTTAAATGGTGATCTTCATTAGTTATTTCAATTAGCGTGCTCGTAATAATAGTAAACTAGATTTGGCGTGCAGTATTCATTTAACCATTTCATACACTAATTGAAAATCAGCATGCAACTAAAGAAAATATATGAAAATGTGAGTTAGATCGATTTGTTGTTTACGATCGCCTTCGGATCACTCGTCCAACATTATTTCAAAGAAAGCTAAACAAAAAACAACACGCAATGTACGTGTAGGTAATTTCTTTAATTGTGATCCACGACACGAGAAGCACTGACGTAACATTTAAAATACTATTAGATAACTATTGTTGAACACGCTCGGTGAAAGTTCGGGATCGTTTTTGAACGCATTCATAACGGCCTAATGTGGGCATTTTGAAACTAGAATACTTTTTGTAACTGACAGCTGACAGTTTGTTAAAAAAATATAATTTAGTTCTCTTTGTTAGATCATAGGTCAATGACTTCAAATAGCATTGTACATAATCATTACACATTTTCGCGGCGCGCTCTGAAATTATTATGTCTTGTTTATTTTCGTGCTACGTGTTTGAGTTTACGGCATTTTTGTGCAGTCAATTTTAAAATAACAAGATTTAGACATTTAGTAACTCTACTTTACTACGCTTCAACACGTCATTTCCATGAAAATAGACACGAACGTGACAGTTGTCCTAAAGTGTACACTGGTGCGTGTAGTACGCGACAGACATGACATAACAAACTAAACAGCCATAAGAATTCACGTCGACAGGTGCGCAAGCGCGTAACACTTATACAACTGTCAATTTGGCACCATATGGGTTTGTGGGAGTTATATTATCTACTGACAATACTTGATACATGCATAGAGTATAGAAGACACAGTAAAGTTTCAAAGTGCAATTAAACCACTTTTAAAATTGTATTTGAAATCGATTAATTTAGAAGCTTATCACAAATACATTTTATATGATTATTAATATCATAAAAGCTTTTGAAGGTTTCAGAATAAATATTGATTCATATTACGACAGTAGGAAAGAGGAAAATTTTGCATCGAAATCTTTAAAATATTTCTTTCACATGTCTTTTGTAGTGTATTTTATATCAATACATTCAAAACCACTGACTTCCTCATTCAAGCCTACAAGAAGTATTTAGTGACAGCCTCGGCGCCGGTAAACGAAGTTTAAAAACAAAACAATGTCCCTACATGCGAGTATCACGCCGAAGGTCAGACAATCTCCGCGAGACCGCATCTACTGGGACTAACTTACAAGTCTTACAACTTACAATCGACCCGTCTGTAACCTTAAGGGCACAGTGCATAAGTAACGAGGCCAATAGAACTAAGTGCAAATGGCAGAATACTAACCAACTTTGCATGTAAATCCGTGAACCAAATCACAGAAGATCGCTTACGATTCTGGCCTTGGGTTTATCTACAATCTGTTTTACAGTTCGTTCATTTATGAACATAAAGTCAAGTAATAAGATGCAAAGTACTAATATTTTTTTAGAATTTGTATGCCACTCCATTAAAAGTATTTTAAAATATGGTTTGCCAAATATTTCTTTCGTCTAATATTTGGCATCAGTAAATAAATAATAAATAAATAAATCTTTGGACAATTTCACACAGCGCCAGCTAGCCCCAAAGTAAGCAACTTAATGCTTGTGTTATGGGTGCTAGCTTAACGGATATACTACGTATATACTTTTTTTTTTAAAATACCTACATAAATATTATACATAGTCACACCCAAACCCGTCACAGAAATTAAAATTCATCATTTCAATTTCTGCCTGGCCGGGAATCGAACCCGGGACCTCTCGGCATAGTAGTCCGTTCTGAACCACTACACCAAACGGCCGACAAATCAGTCACGAACATAATTGTTTATTAGAATAACTTTTCCAAAAATATTTCAATAAAATATGATAATCACTTTTATTGAACAGGAAAGTGCCCATTCCATCCTGATTCTGCATGACCTCATCGTTATATTTAACCTCAGGTGAGAGGAAAATGTTATTCAAGGGTAAACCACTTGGTGAGGAACACAAAAAGTCTACTAAAATAATAACATGAGTCAAGTTCATGAGATCCTTTTAAACCTGAATTTATCTTACATCTTCTTGCGATTTCAAGTTCATCAGATCAAAAATTCTAAGTAAATAATTGAGATACGTAATTGCATAACTTCCTTAAAAACAATGAGTGTAAAATGCGTCTTATATACGAAAATATACAAGATATTTAATTACGAAAAAGTATCTCAAGTGGTCAGACCAATCTCTTTAAAAATTACATAAGAATTAGGTTGTCTTCAAAACCTAGACGTTCGTATTTATGATCTATTGTTTGGATGGTATAACGACTTATCTATCGTGATGTTGTACCAAAGACATTTCCGTTGCATTGTACGTACGCGAGATCGTTAATTGCGAATGCGTTTCCGTTATGGCTGACCTCTTACATAATTAATATGACCTTAAAATAGCCTCTACGAAAGTGGAAGTGAATGAGGTTTTCACCTTATTAGTCCATATTGATAAATAGGAGAGGCGTAACTGACAAGAGACCGTAAGATTAAGTATTACAAAGTGCCAAGTTTGGTCAATCATGATGCAAATAATTTTAATGGCATTTCATGTAAACATAATTGGGTGGTTGTAAGTTGAAAACTATATTTCAGCAGTCCAAATATTCATTGAAAAGTCGTAGTAATCTGGAATTCGTAAATATTGTTGGCAAATGAAGTTAAAACCCCAATTAAAGGGTAAAGTGCCTTTGTAATTTTTATTTTTTATTCATATCATCTTAAAGTTATTTTTGGCAATCTTTTACATTGCTGCATTTAATTTTGAAAATTATATCATCTAATTATACCAAACGCATCTTGGGCATAATTAACTCAAAAGTAATAGTACTCATTTTGTGCACACGTTAAATTGCGTGCTCATGAATTATTATGTATACAAACGCGCTAATTACAACTATGCCTTGTACTACCATTATGTGTAGTTACATAATTAGTACTTAAGACATTACTACAAATCATTTCTGCTACACGTCATAAAGCGTAATAGCAACATATACAAATGGCACGTTATTATTAAGTTTCTACTTTTTACGACACAAAAATCGACACATAATCGCATAGATCAGAGCGCACGCGCTGAAGCTGCGATTTTCACCGTGTTTTCTTCTCGTGAAACGCGCGCACGCATCACGGGGCTCGATAATTGAATACCTTCACGCTCACTCTAATAACATAATGAATATTAAGTACAATCTAAAGCTGGGTGTTCACTTACACTACATTGATAAATCTTTAAAAGAAAGTTCAAGATCTGTGTACACTATTGTAAATAAACTCAATGTCTTACTAGCAGACTACAATAGATCAAAGTACGATGTGAGAAAAGTGGCATTATTGAATATTTGCCCTTGCGCAAGCTACACAGGCGCTTCGTGAGAATCAGGTACGTGTTAGAAATTCTAAACAATGGCTTATACGAGTAGCTCTAACGAAAAAAGACAGAGCGTCCTGCAGGGTATGCTTGATTGTACTTCTCTCATTTCTAAGCAGAAAGGTCGAAAATAGCATGTACCATTTGCATTTTCAGTCGCTCGTTATGTTACCGCAATTATTATTACGATGAACACATTTAGCCACGGGTCATTGAACGATTTGGTTATTTGGGTCGCGTTTCTTAATGCTGTAAAAATTTCAGTTTCCTGAAAACTGCTTTATATTGCAAATCGTATAAAACAGGAAAAGCTTATGAAAAAATTTAATTACATATTATGTTACGTCTCATTATTATGATTTATTTCCCAACTAAACTTTTATTGTTTCAACACTGAGACAGTTTAAACCATTCGATAGTTGCGAAAGGAATATTATGAGTTTAACCTAGAATATGAACCCACTCACTCGGGCCCGACTAGGCTGGTTACGATAGAAACATGCTAATTAATGACTTTGATTTTGAAATTGTACCCAAAATGAGCTATTTAAAAGTGTCATAATAAGCATTAATGACAAAAATGCTATTGTCCAAAGTTTGATGCAACGAAAATATGCCTTAATGACACATTAAAAGTGTGATTAAATATACACATTTCAAGACGAGTTATTAATTAATAATTAGTGGATTAGATTACTTAATGATTACAATAGATTAAATAGAAATTTACAAAAATAGTAAAATGTAAGTGCAATATTGAATGCAGTTAACAAAGTTGTATGAATAATATCTCTTCATAAATATAAAGCTCCCATAATGTCTTATCGGAAGTAATTCCGCTGGAGGTGGATTAAATTGCAAAATGACGTACAAAATCAGTGATAAAGCTCGAGTGAAAGTGTCCCCAGATAATACGGGTTCTCGGGCAAATGCAGCTTTCGATAGTAAATCAGCTGCATTTGAACTTACAATAATGCTTAATCATTTGTGACATTTATTGACTTAAAAGGTACTTAAGATCTTATACTTGTAAAATTATGAATAATTTGAAATTAAAATTTAATTTAATATGAAAACTTAAATATACAAATTAAATTTTCACAGGCCTTTCATAAAACTCAAGCTTTCACAAGCACCAAGTAGACTAGAAACACATTTTCCCCACAAGCCTCAGCTACAGAGCTTTCCACAACTTTCCGAGAAGTTGTTGCACTTATTTTTTATCCATCGCTCGTAAATTTCTCGACCGCTCTAGAATTTCGCCACCTCGCACATAAGCGAGCGCACAAAAATCTATTACACCACGTTATCTGCAATTTCTATTCAACACTCAAGTTGTTGTGGAAACACTGTACCAAGTTTTTCACTGAATAGCGAGCGCGTTAAATATGTTTGTTTGTACGTACCTACGCCGAGGGCGGCGGCTATCACAAGTAAACACCGTGAATTCATGTTTGAACTGTAAGTCCTTGTACGTGTGGACACTGTTATGTGTGAGCACTGACTGCGGGCGGGTGACCGGGCGACGGAGGCTTTTATATTGGGTGGGCGTGCGCCGCGCGTGGAAAGCGGCGCCTGCGCAGCGGAGGGTGCGCTCCCGGGATCCACGACGCGCCCGAAAACTACGCTACGATTCATTATGAGTATCAATTGATATTGAATTGGACTGGGTTTACACATGGACTTAGACTCTGACTCTTAGATCCCTTTAGTGCAAAGATTTGAGATTTTAAAAGATTTTCCCGCCTTAGGCAGTTCGATTTTTTCAAGTTATTTAGTGGTTAAGAAAAATTTAGTCCATTTCCTTTGCTGTTATTTAGTGTTTGTAAGTTTTTGTCATTGATTTAATTCAATAAACTATGCTTAGTTTTTTGCTTACTTTGCGGAGTAAAAACAACGTGCTATTTGTTGATGATAATCTTCATAGTTCAGAATATGAGGCGAATCTCTCTCGAACTCAGAAAATTAAGGAATAATTCTACTTTTTTTCATATTTCTTTCATTATTATGAAAAAAAAACTGTATTTGAACCACTACTATAATCATATTAATAGAATACAGAGTGCGCAATGTTTCTTTAAAATAATAATGTTTTTTTTTAGATTGTTTCTCATCTATTATGGGCTTAGCTTATTAAGAAATAACTTTTTGCTCAATGATTTTATTTATATTACATAGGTTTGATTAAATTTAATACAGATATATTTTTGTGTGTCATGTAAAATGTATTTGAACATATTATTATATGTTATTAAAATTAATTAAGATGTAAGAACACAGAAGTAAATTAATACTCTTTCATACATTAGACATCAACGAACTCAATACGAGCAGTTCTAAATTTAGCTTAGTAACGCTAGAAACGTCTATTCTCGAATTTTCGTAGCATATTTGGTCAATATTATTCAAAAATATGCAGTGACTTACATAGACAGATAGAAATCATGATCAATTTATAGACTTTGTTTAATCAAATCATGCTGCATTTAAATTAATAAAAATCTGAATTACCACAGTAGTGATCCTATAGTTATTGCTGTATCATTGAAATATTAAGCTAGTTAATAGAATTAAAAGAAAAGCGTACAAAAGATAACAAGGAAAGTAATAGACTGTCTATATCATTTCCATATTTATTATGTCCAATTTGTTATGATGAGGATTGAAATCAACACCTGGTATATTAAACCAATAACAAACAGTCAAATTAAGATTAATAGTGAACATTTTTATTAAGACGCGTACACCATTTTCCGACACGAGCTACTCGATCTATAAAATTGAAAAACTGGTTCCTGTAGTGTACCCTGACCGAGTTCTTGACAATTTCGAAGATGTTATAAATAGATCTTAGTGACGATTAATACAGTGTGAGCCACGATAAAGTGCACATATGAAAATAGGTGAAACTATACCTATTTTTATTGACAAAAAAGAGGTCAACAATTTTTTGAGTTTTTTTTTAAACGATCATTGCAAACGTTTTGATAGGGATAGAGACATAGGATTTTTGGTTTTACAAAGGTAATACGATAAAAACCACCTGTTATGGGGGCATTATTTGAAGAAATTTATCAAATAGCCAAAAACACGAATTAAAATGCAGATTTTTGTCAAAATGTACCTATATTTTTTTATTATTTGTTGAGTATTTTATGTATTTTTTAGTATCGCCTGTTATTTAGCATTATTACTGTTTTTATTTTATCAGGATATACCCCTTAGTTTAAAAGTTATTACGTTTTCTTTGCAATAATTAATAGACAGATCTTTGTCAATAAATAAATAACTAATTTGAAGAAAAAAAATTCTTTAAATAATTAAAAAAAAAACTAAAAAAAATTGACCTCTTTTTTGTCGATAAAAATAGGTCTAGTTTCACCTATTTTCATATGTACACTTTATCGTGACTCACACTGTATACGAGTAAACCTCGCTGTCCATTGAGATCGGTGCACTTCACCGTAACGTGTGAATGAAATTATTGTCTGCGTTTCATGTTGTAGAACAATTATAAGATTGTAAGAGCACTGTTTTAAGTTTACTGCGAATGAAATCGTATTTTTGTAGAATACGAGGCTTGCAGAGACTGCTACTAATTCAATACCAAAAATAATGAAGTAAATTGAATATATTTAAAGTCAATTTGGGGATAAAGAATACATGTATAGATGTTCTTTATTATTTACAAGCGAAATTCGACAGATAGTTCGATCTTACTTGAGCAGTTTTAAGTACAATTAAGTGTTTTATATTTTGTATGATTCTTTTGTATCAGTAATGTTACGTTTACATTTACATACGTTTCAATATTGACTATTTTCTTTACAGAAATGTGACATAGTTACGAGTATTATGAATACAACATTTATTAATATGGAGTATCGGTAATAAATAGTCGCGACGTTGAACTGTAATATACAGAAAGTAATTCATAAATTCTTCATTGTTTGTATTGTCTTTGTCACACTTTCATTGATATTTCAGACCAAATCTAATCTTATGATCGATCATTCTAGAGTACGTGTTCATTTGTTTTCCAGCTCATCAGCTGCGCCAGTGGACGTTGACCCTAAATTGTTGTTGATCAGCCAACAGACAGGGAAAGTGAATCTGTTCTGAGATCGTGACTCATCGCTCATGCCTTGCACCTTGCTGTGATACATCTTTGAACCAGGAACCGAGTTTACTTTACAAGTATTTAAAATGTACTTTATGAACCGATAAATAAATAAATTGATTTTAATTGATTTGTGTGTTTAAAACAGAGGTACATTCGTGTAAGCAAACAAAAGTTTTAAATCAAGAATAGTTTATATGACAAAGTAGTTTAAATAAATTGAAACTAAACTAATGTTGCGTTAACTCCTATATTTTATACTTATTTAATTCATCGTCTTAGATAAATGATACGTCGAGTATACTCGTAGAATGTTACAACTCAATTTTACTCCCTTGAGAACAATGGGTAGGTTGTTCCATAGAATTAGATACTTTTTTCATCTTTAGTACTTTATTCGTAGCTATTATCATTTTGTAATCAATTTGCAAGTAATTAGAAACACTCTACGTTTTCTGATTAGGAAGTAAGTACATCATACATTGTCCACGGCTTCGAAGGCTCCATCGGCAAAGATAATCGAGTGGTAGATAACCGAGACTGTCATAAATGAGCGATTGTTTCACCACAACAAAGGTGAGGCTTTAAACTTTTTTTCTCATCCAAAAAAATTGTCAATTTCTACTGATCGTCGAATGTAGAGGTTTCAAAAAAAGTTTAATTTGTTAAAACAAACAGTTACATCACAAGTAACGTAATCTTTAGCAAACTAAAAGGTATAGGTAACAAGAGGTTATAGACAAATAGAACCTACAAACATGTATCTTACGGTCAGTGCCAATTGTTGAATTAAAAATTAATTACTTTAAAAGTGAGATGTTCGTTTATTACTTTGGAACAAGGTAACTACTTATAATAAACTATCCCTTAACTTAACCCTTATTCTAATTCAATTTAAAGGAAATCAATAGTAAAATATGTAGTAGGTATTATAAATTTATTATGAGGCATATATAGTGCCAGTTCACATACCCATAAAACCTTAGATTACCAGAAATTAGTAAGACAAGTAAGTAAAATAACTAAGTAAGAAATTAGTAGTTATATTTTTGTTTATAGGTAGGAACCATTATTTGTACTGCATTTATCTCTACTGCTATTTCAGTACAACTTCTTCAAGGCTAGTCTGTAGTCGTGTTATTTATGAGCATATTTTAGAGTCGTCGTTTTGGCATTTCTAAGGTTACGAAAGGACTGAATGACATCCTTGTTTTTTGCGGTGCAAATGTCAAAGCAATTTTTCACGATTTAACTTCACTACCTATTATAAATCATGGATGATCTATAGGCATTTAAACTTAATATTTCATAAGTATATAATACGAGGGTGTATGAAGTTATAGAAAAGTCTAATTTTATAGAATTTTGAACAATGCAACTTAAAACACAGAATCTATTTTAACTCTATTTACCATTGATAGGTATTTAATAGCGTACATCTTATGTATTTAAATTACAGTAGGTAACTGTAATAATATGCAACAAAAAATGTAGACTGATGAGTGATCGACCTGTAGAATGAAACATCATGTAACTAAATACAGAGAAATCTCTTGAAGCGCAAATATGTGCAAAGATTATATATAGCTCACTCGTGCAACTACAAGCATGTTTAGCTTAGTACGAGGGGCTAACGGGACTATTTAAAAAAAATTTAAAAAAGTTTATTGAAAAGTAAAGTCATGATGTGGCATGATGCATAAGTTTTGGATATTTCGGACAGAGAGGTAATTCGCCAAGTCTTTGACCGTCCGCGGCCGCCGCGAAGGTCTGCCGCTTGCAGCGATACCAAACACTAAGCAAGTGCAGTACTCAATCAAAGTGGTAATGTGCCTAATTTATATTGAACAGCTACAAGAGGTTAAATCTGGTTTCTTCCTTGAACAAGCCTTAGTTCTTTACAATATAGTGAGTTTTATAACCCGAAAAGTCTATTAATTTAGAATAGAGTCATAAGTTTGAATAACGCTAACCATAGCTTATAATAAAGGTCGGTTTTCACCAGAGCGAAGAGGAGTTTTTTTTTCTGTTCTGTTCTTTGGTGTGCAATAAAGAGTATTTATTTATGGTTATTATTTTTACTCATTTTCGCTGTTGCTTGTTGCATGCATAATCTATGTACAGGTCGGTTGTCACCGCGACGTTTGCCTCACTGCGCCTGCGCCGCTATGCGCGGCATGCGGAAGCAGCAAGCAATTGAGCACTTCAAAACATTTTCACAATACATTCAATTATTGTGTTTACTATTCTTGCCTTTGAAATAATGGCTTTGACAGGTTAATATGAAACAACAATTAGTGTAAGTTGATTGTCCGTTTTATTACTGGTTAAGATCTTTAATGCCAAATTTACTCTGACTGACAGAAACGACTCTACCTAAATATCTCAAATATAAAATCATGTCGACCCACGAATTACAAGAAAGGAATCGTCCTCCTTGTGTTGTTGTTAGAGAATCATGACTGCTCTAGGATTGGAAATCTAACAATTCTTCATTTCTTCAAAGCGTCCGGCATATCTTAAGAAATTGCGG